AACTGATGGTGGAGTGAAAACTTCAATCGCGAATTTGGGGTGAACGGGGCGTCGGAAGTGCGTACCGACAAAGAGCATGTGGTAGTCTTGGACAAGTTCTTATTTATGGTGGTGACAAAACTGGCTAATTATTGATCTGCCACACAAAAATGTGCTGAAGTTCTTTCGATCTCACACGAGGACTTTGATAATTTTTAGCGCATTTTTTAAGAATTAAAAAAAAATGCTATTGTTTGCGTTTTGTCCGTCCGTCCGTCCGGATCCACTTCTACCGTTTTGAACTACTTCTAGGGGAATGATCCTAGAGTCCTGGAATTTTTTACAGTAGGTAGCCTATATCTTGAAGGTGTGCCAGACGGCCATCAAATTTCGCTGTCTAAAAGGCCCCCCCTCCACGAATTATTTCCACGCATGCCTCTAGTGGTGCTAAGTTAAACTTTAGGAAATGGAGGGGGGGGGTAAACACATGGTATTAATTCTTCATGGTATTCTAATGAAAAATCTCATCATCGAAATAAATTGGTTTGTACAAACTATAACTTTCCCGTACGACTCTTTTTCGAGATCAGTGAGCGACGGGGCCTTAGGGGAGGGAGAGGGGGGTTAAATTAATTTTATCTCTCATTGTATTGTAATTAAAAGTCTAAAAGAAAGGAACCGTTTTCTACCAACTACTGTCCTTCTTCCTGTCTACCAACCATTGCCCTCCTCCTCGACCTCTTATCATGATCGGGTATATTCCCTTATACCTCAAGAACGGATTGTCGGAAGAGGGTACTCACAAAGGGCGATTGATTGAGACGTCGGCGAGAAATATATCCAATGGTGAAAGGTACGTATGTAAAGGTAGCATACTTAATTTTTTGTGAAACTTTAGCCGCTATTCTAAAAGTGTGCGAAACAATGAACTAAATAATTAGCTCAATTAGAACTATTAAAAGTGTGTATGGAAAATTTGCACAGCAGCTAATATAACTATTAATCAATTATTAAGTAGCAGTAAAGAGTTCTTCAGAGCCCCTTTTCGAGATTCATAATTATGTCTGCCTATTCCTGTGTCCGTGTTTACAATACGGCACATAGATATAGTGTCCATTATTTGTGTAGTGTAGTATACAGGGTGTCAATTTTAAAATTTGCAGTCGGTCATATTGTCCAAACTAAAGAAAATATTGAAAATGCCGCAAAACCGTTTCCAGGGTTTCAAGGAGGAACCAGAATGACGTTATGAGTGACAACCCCCCCCCCCCTTAACCCCCCAGCCCCCCCTCAATGTCAACTTTAGTTTTTTTTGTTAATTATTAAATTTTTTTTAAATTATCTTAATGAATATTGACTTTATTGGTACCACTGGAAAGCATTTTTCAGTACCTTTCCAACGATGTGACACGGGGTTGCCATTAAGGAATTTTGTGCTATTTACTTCTACCAGAGTAGAACCAGGAGCCTTTTCCCCCACTCCTTCTTATTACCGGTTTAAGAAAGGTCCATTTAATAAATTCACACCTTCGGCCCCGTAAGGGAAGAAGTATACGGGGACTTATTTTGATTATTTCGTGAAATTTGGACTTTGATTTGATCAATTAATTTGTTTGGTGCAATTACGTAGTTACTTTGTGACCTCGCGCTCTGATTGGTCGATTATTTTGGCGGATTTAATGGAATGAATTTAATTATTTCTTTGAAACTAGACTTCATCCACTAATTAATTCTGGCAACCGGGCCAATTTGTGAGCGTGACCAAGCGATTCTCGTCTTTTATGGAACTTATCCGTGGATATATTCGCGTCCTTTCAATTATCGATTGATTGATTAAATTATTTTAATTAAATTTTAATCAACAGCGGTATGCGACATCAATTGCGCGTGTTTCAAAATGGCGTCGCCTGACGTCACAAAGTATCCATCTCACTTACACATTAATGCACTATCTTTGTCCCACTTACTATTAAAAGTTGGAAACACCGATTTAAAAAAATCTAAATACGGTGCGGTAGAATTAATTTCAAACAAACCAAAATTGAACGTTACGGAGGAAAAGTACATTTACGCCTAGGTACCTTAAGGTATTTACGACAAGCAAAGAGATCCCCTCTAAATTAAGCGTTTACCTCATATAGAATTCGGCAGCGCCATGGCAGGATCGACGGCTTTTTCAGCTCGAAGGCATGTCCTTGCGATAACCCTCGAAAATTAAACATCTTAAAAATACGGGACGGTGTCAAAATTCAAGTTTTTTTAAAGAGTGCACCTAACGGATGTAATCTGGACTTAATCGGAGGCGGTTATTTGTAACCCATTCAACCAACTACGATTAATTATACGTATCCAAATAGTCGGAATGAAATCTCCAAATTTGGCAGTCCAAATGGCGGGGTCTCCTATCACTTTGATGACTTTGCCGGTTTTAAATCTCGATTTTCGCATATCATTAGAAAACTAAAATCGATTGATGGGTAATTAACGGACCTACAATAAGTTTTCAATCGTATTAAGAAAATATTGATTCTCTCTGTTCTTGCCTGGCAAGAGAGCTTTCGGCGGCTGTGAAAACTATTGAAATATCCCTACAGGAACGGTTGCAAACGGCAATTTAATTAATCATGCACTAAATGTCGCTCTTTTTTTTTAAGAATCTACAAATGCAAAAGTGCACTTACATTATTTGACGGAAATGTTGGAAGGAAATTTGGGTGACGTACTCTGACGTACCCACTGGTGCGACATAATTGTGTGCTATTTATTACAGACCCCAAACAAATAAGGGTCCATGGGTACATCACCGCATCCTCCTCTCTGACCTATCGAAACAATGTTATATATTTTATGCTATTTATTGGATATTGCCAAGAGTTCCAAATTTTCTATGGCACACCGGAATAACCGGATGTGCTTAATTTTTTCTATAGAATGACATGACGGCACACTCTATCCAGATCACACAAAGGATTCGAATAAACACACAATTAATTGGTTAACAATGACAAACATGTATTCCGAAACACAATGAAACAAAACTAAAACAAAATCCATAAAAGAAAGAAAAGCTTACAAAGCTTATTTGAACATATTACCCCGCACACAGGCGGCCAACAAAATAAGAAATCTTAAAATTACAGATTTTTTTAAAATAATGTAAATAATCTGGTCGTACAAGGTTTGCAATATTCAGGTGCATTAAAAGAGAGAGAAAAACACTCGCTGGCAGCTTTAGAAAAAAAGGTTTTTGACAACACTGAACTTCATGACAAAATTGTTAAAATTGCCACATTTTCGGTGTCTGTTTGAACAGTAGAAACTTTTAACTTTTTCCGTAAACGAATAACAAGCATTAATCTTTTGTTCTGCACAGATTTATTATAATAAATGACGAACTGCGTCTTCTACAAAACAAATGGGCATGACTGCCCGTAATTGAGCGCTTTTCACTTCTACCATCAAATAAACTTCCTCCTCAGGAATCCCTAAACAACACCGCCAATCACAATTAGACTTAACGCCAGTTTCGAAAAAACGCGTCCCCACTTACGGCGAAAAAAACGCGCACTTATACCATCTTTTCGTTATCTATTAAAACACGAGCGTTAATTAAATTTGACAAGATGTGCCTTACTTCCAACATCAATAAATTACAAAAGCTTATAATTCAAACAAGAAAATAATATGCAATTACAAGCAATTCTAAAAGGAAAAATAGACACTGAGATAACAAATTCAAATAAAACGAACCAACTCTGTGCTTATTTCGCAAATAATCCATCAAATAACGTTTGCCTGACGTTCTTTGAACAAAAATATTTGTTGAATAATCTGCCGTTTTCAAAGTATAAGTATACGAAGTTTTGTAAAAAGAAAAGATATCGGATTTAAACTCATTTTTTCAAATGGAACGTCCTACATATTTTAATCTTAAGTTATCGAAAGAATTTAGTATATTAAGAAACAATTGTATAATCATGTCTCTTAAGAACGCGCAACGAGTTGCGTTGCCAATGCTTTAAAGACCAATTCTACCCGCGTTTCTTATAGTATTTTGTTTATTAGTATAATATAAAAATAAGGGAAATAAAACAAAGTTATATCCACTTTTTACTCGAATACGTATCGGTGGGTGGCTTCTTCGAAGTTCTATGGTCACTTGTTTATTAAAAATCGCCGTCTTTAGAAATAACCTGAATTTGATTAAAAAAATATTTTAGACCGTCCATTCAGTGGTTTGTTGCAGAAGCAGAATAAAAATCACTACCTGCAAAAACCAGTAAAGCCTATTTAACAGATACCTATGATATTTAAACCTGTCATCCATTGGCGCATGCTCAACAATGCTGATTTGAGATTTTTTAGATCAGCCCCAGATGACAGAGACGCAAGTAAATAGTAAGAGAAAATTAAAGTGTGGCATAAATAGAATTTTTTTTAGTTAATTGTCGAAACGTTCACCACTGAGAATGTTGACTGAAGAAAAACAACAGCATACATTACTTGATTACCTAAATAGCTAGTAATTCAGGATTCGCCGATTTTCTAAAAATAGAGACACTATCGATTATCGCGCTATCTCCTTTATACCAACGTAAACAAAGTTCTCATGTGCTTAAAAAGGTGTAATATTGAAATACCCCTCCATTCGGGAGCGGAGTATCACGCTCGAACGGTTACTCAATCGACCATCTTCATGCTTTTGCTCGTGGTTCCCTAATAGCTCATGCGATGCTCTCAAGTGCACCGCTAATCACGTTGTGTCGATTCATTATGCGAAACCAGAAAACGTTTTCGTTGTTCCCGAATCTCTTCTGGATGTCTTGCTTTCCGTTGACGGGGAGAAGACTTGATTCAGTCATTATCCTTTTTCCGGTGGAAATCTGACGTTAACAGAACGCTTCAGTCGTCGATATTTATTTTTACCCCGCGCCACCGCCCACCCTTCCCCCTGTCCCCCTTTGACGTAAGCCGACGCTCTGTTATATTAAAATAAAATGGAATGTTTTCATTTGTTGCAGATGCCAGCATAATAAAATGCGAAAAAACGTACGAAATGTGCGAGGGTTGCGGCCAGAAAATCCACGATCGCTACCTGATGCGAGTTGCAGACGCAAGCTGGCACGAACATTGTCTTTCCTGCTGCGTTTGCGGCGTTCTTCTCAACCATTCCTGTTACACGAGGAACACGAAGCTCTACTGTAAAGCGGATTATGATAGGTAAATAAGGAAACGTTTGCGACATTATTTTACTTCCATCCCCTCGATCACGTCCTTTTCCTGGATTTGTTGCAAAGAGCATTGCACAAAATTGCACCACGCTGTCACTGAAGGTAAAGAGTGTCCCGTTCATACTCATTCGAAATAGGAACAGAGAATTAACTCGTTTAATATAATAATAATAATAATTAACTACTCTATTTACATATTTATTAATTTGACCTTTATTAACTCGACATTCCGTTATAGAGTTCTGTAGTGCCTAACCCCTTGTTAACCGTTAACACATTTCGACAAAGGAAAGTATCGATTTCTATTACTTAAATATGGCAAAGATTTATTTTTTACCCTTAAATGCACAATAATGAATTGAACATACAAATGCAGGAAAAATGCACTATTTTACAGTAATAAAGACATCGGTGCATTCGCTTCGTTTACAATTTGCTTTTTTTTCCTCCTTTGGTTGGGTGATATTACTCCTACCATTGGTACCCTTGAATCTATTGCACGTGCCTCAGTATTTTCTTGGGACGTGCTCACTTTATGACACAAAAGCGGGTAGCCGACTTAATTAATTTATGACCACGCACTTTCACCTGGCTACCTACCTACATAAGGACGAAAGTTGCATGCAAAGGAGAGATAAGAAAAGTTAACGTCACGTAGCGGGAGGCGAACCAAAAATTTTTCAGGATAAGCAACACCCCATACATCGCAGTACGCAACCGTGCCGACAGCCGAAAGTGAGAGAGCAGCGTAATAATCAAGGAATATGGGGAGAGAAGCCAGGGAATCCACAAGAATTAAACACAACAAGGGAAAGGGATGGGAAAACATAGATAACAACGAAATTAAGTTAGCTTGCTAAACGCAGAAAACGCAAATGGAATACAGACAGGAGGAATGCAAATACAGGAAAGACATTCACGAGCCAATAGCACAGGAAATTTCAAAGAATTTTTAATAAAGAAAAGAGGGAGAGAAGAAGAGGAAGAAGCAAGGAAACAGTTAGAAGCCGAACTAGAACAATTACAAAAAAAAACAGCAAAATCTACCGATCACCGCCCACAACAAAGACAGAAGAGAAAGAAAAAACAAGAGAGACACCCGAAAACATGGAGGAAATTAACAACATGATAACCCTTAACAAGAGTATGATGGAAATGAGAAATCAGAAAAGAAATAACGGAAATAAGAGAAGAGTTTAAAAAGCAAATGCAGGAACTGAAGAGGCAAAATCAAGGGAAGGAAGAAAAATGGAACAAAGAAAAACGAGAACTAGAGGAGAGAATAGACAAAATAGAATGGAGACTGGAAAAAGAAGAAAGGATGAAGAAAAAAAATAACGTTATAATTAAAGGAGGAGGAGCAAATAATATTAAGGAAACCGACGCAATAAATTTCCTAAGAAATGAATTAAAAATAAATATTTCTAGTACAGAAGCCCGTACAATACAAAATGGAGAACGAAAAATAGGGATTCTAATAAAATGTAGAAATTGGGAGGAAAAAATGGAATAATGAGGAACAGACAAGCCCTAAGAGATAAAAAGGAATATATCGATAACGACCTGACGTTTACAGAAAGAGAAGTGCAAAAGAAGATCAGAGAAAGGATAGAGGAAGAAAAAGAAAAAGGCAATACAACAAAAATGGGATATATGAAGCTCATGATAAATGATACATGGTTCAAGTGGGACGAATGAGATGGTAATTTAACGAAAAAAACTAAACAAGCATACACAATCGAGGACGGGGGTGAAGATCACACAAACAATTAACAAAGGAACAACAGGTGACAACAAAAAACCAACAAAAAAAGGAAGAACAAAAGAAAATAGAAAACATGACAAAAAAAGGAAACATCAAAATTGGATTCTAGAACGTGGCGGGAATCAGCAACAAGGATGAAGAATTTTGGGAGTACGTGAAAACTTATGATGTAATCGGCATGGCAGTAGTATGGGTAGAAGAAAAATATTTGGAAAATTGAGAGAAAAAACTACCGAAATGGGAATATCAATACGCTAGAAGGGAAAATAAGAAAGGAAGAGCCTAAGGAGGAATATTAACAGGTGTAAGAAAAACGATAAAAACTGAAACAACGATGCGGAAACACGATAATGGAATACAAGATAGAAAAATGATACTAAAAGATGTACGATGGAGAGTTTTTACATTATACAATCACATGAATATGAAAAGGATAGTGGACGAACTGAACAACATAATAGAAGAATCGGAAGATGATGCTAAAATAATAGGAAGGGATCTAAACGCGCGGATAGGCAAGGAAGGATCATGGATCGCTGGCACAGAAGAAGACAACAAAAGAAAATCAAAAGATAACGTGACAAATATAGAAGGGAAAGAATTGATTAACTTCGTAGAAGAAAAAGGGTGGTACATCCTCAACGGAAACGTGAAAGCAGACGAAGAGGGAGAATATACATACATAGGAAGCAGAGGGCAGTCGGTAATAGACTATATTATTCTAAATGAAAAAGGGAAAGAACACTTAAAAAATTTTCAAGTAGGCCAAAGAATAGAATCCGATCACCAACCAATATCCACAACGATGAAAGGCAATGCTGACACACAATACAGAAGACAAACAAAAGATATTGCAAAAACGAGACAAATCTGGACAGAACAAACAATAGAAAAATACAAAAAACATCTAAAGCAGATAGAATTCAAAGAAACTGAATGTGATGCTGCACTAGAAGAAATCCAAAAGGCAATAACTAAAGCGGTGACAGAAAAAAACATAAATAAATAAACAACTAGACACCAGGAAGAAGCAAGTGGTGCGACACAGAATGTAAAGAGAAAAAACAAATTACAAAAAAAGCCCTAAATGGATTGGAAAACAGGAAAAGACACAGGCGAAGAGTACAGAACAAAGAAGAAAGAATATAACGATACATGCAAATGCAAAAAAGAAGGATTACAAAAAGAGGAAATTAGAGAAATACAAGGCACCAAAAACGAAAATGAAGTGTGGAAATTTATAAACAAAGGGAAGAAAAATAAAGAAGGAATACCGGACGACATTGGAGAAGAAGGGAAAAACTACTTTATACACAGTTTAAATAAGCTTCAGATGGGAAAAAACAAAAAGAAGAAGTGAAAAGGAGGATGAAGAAATAGGGGAAGAAGAAATGGAAGCAGAAATAGCAAAGATGAAAAAAAGAAAGCTCCTGGACCAGACCAAATAACAAATGAGAGAATACATGCGCCGGAAAACGTGAAACAGCAAATCAGAAAAATTATTAACAGGGTATGGAGAGGAGGAGGATTTCCGAAAAGTTGGAAAGAAGGAGAAATATGCCCAATATACAAAAAAGGAAACAAAGATGACATCAAAAACTATAGGGGAATCACACTCCTAAAACTCAACATACATACTTTACGCTAAAATACTAAAGAACCGCTTAAATAAAGAAGTAGACAAAGAAATACTAGATGAAACACAAATGGACTTTAGGAAGGGAAGGGGGACGATAGACAATATATACATAATAAATCATGCAGTACAACAAGAACTGGAAAAGAAAGGAGGTAAAGTCTACGCCCTATTCATAGATCTAAAAGCAGCATTCGATAATTTAGACACGAACGAATTATATAAGAGCTTGGGAAAAGAAAAATATCGACAGCAACACAATAGAAATCTATAGAGAAACAAAGAGTTAAAGTCAATAACAAACACACAGACTACTTTTGGACGGAAAATGGAGTCAGGCAAGGATGTCCGCTAAGTGCAACCCTTTTCAACATTAATGTGGCAGACCTGGAAGAAGCATTAAGGAAATGGCAAGCAGGAGGAATAAAAATTGGAGAACAAAAGCTATGGTGGTTAACATACGCGGATGACATGGTGCTCCTTGCAACAAAGCAATCAGAAATGAAGGAAATGATCACACAGTTGGAAAGGTACCCAAGAAGAAAGAAATGTTTATTATAATCACAGAAAAATCAAAAATAATGGTTTAAACAAAAAGAAGAAAGAAGAATAAGGACGAGACATCGTGGAAAATCGAAGGAAGAGAAATAGAAGAAGTTTCGGAATTTAAATACCTTGGGTACACACTAATGAAAAACGGAGGACCAAGTGCTCACATAAGACAAATAAAGAATAAATCAAATGGATTAATACCGCAGATATGGGACATAGTAAAAAGAAAATTAAAAACAACTATAGAATAAAGAAAATTATGGTCGACTACCTGATCAAAAGCACAGTGATGTACGGGGCAGAAATATGGGGGTGGAAGGAGATAGAGGACTTCGAGCGGATACAAAACAAATACATAAAATGGATCCTAGGATTGGCAAGAGATACCCCAACTTACATACTTCTGGAGGAAACCAAACAAGCTAAGTTGAGGATAGAAGCGGGATATAAAGCAGTTAAATACGAAGGATAGAAAAAGGAGAAAACGGGTTACTAAAAGAAACTCTCAAGGAGAGAAAGAAGACCAAAAAATCAAAGTGAACAGAAAAAAGAAGATATTTCCAAAGGAATGGGTATGCAGAAGATGAGGCGGAAAGATTAAAAGGAGAGAGGGAGTAAATATACCAATGATTATGAACGAGAGAGACAAAGACAACCAATTACAATACCAAATCAATCGAATAGAAAACAGTACCTACAATAGCACGTACAAAAAAATAAAAACATAACACTAGGCAAAATATCTACAGAAGAACAACAAATATATAATAGTGTATTGAAAGACAAGTGTTACAATGCGACCTATTGTAATACGACTATCTTGTGGCACGAGTGGCGACGCGAAGCGTAGCCACGAGTGTCCGCAAGATAGGAGTATTACAATAAAGCATTGTAACACGCGTTTTTCATACTATTTTTTCTATTTCGGTGCTTTAATTTAATTAAAAAAATCATTATCAGAAACTATAGGGAACATTAGAACTAACATGTTTTATGTTGGGAACACTTTTTATGCCGTTAAGTTTTAGGTTGGCAGCGTAGTAAGACTGACATTTTGAAGTTCAAACATGGAAGTACCCAACGGAGTACCTACTTGTACTAACTAGTAACTGCCAACTTAAGAGATGAGTTACCAAAAAAAAACGACTATAATCACTGTCTTTGTACAACTGTTTTTGGCCGAAAACAGTTGTACAAAATCATCATTGTGACACCGAAATAGAAAAAATCCATTGCAAGATTTAGATGCGGAAATGAAAACAGGACCGGGAAAAGATGGAAGCAAGAAAAGTGCAGACCAGAGCTGGGCAGTATTCGATTTTGTAAATACTTTTTAGTATTCAAATCCTTTAAAGATACTTTGTAATTAAATACTTTTATGGAAGCAGTATTTGTATTTGTAACTCAAATACTTTCACAAATATTTAGTATTCGAATACTTCGCAAAGTATTTGGATACTTTGAAGTATTTGAATACTATAAAACCCAAAAATCGACTACACCAAAATTTCTCGGGAAAACACTTTTTCTTATTAATTTTGGTGCGTAGAATCCAAAACAATTCGTACTTTTTCGATCAGACTTCTCAATCAAAAGTTACAGACTAGAAACCAATTTCGAAAGAAAATTCAAAGGGCTGTAACTTTTGGACTAGTAGCCCAATCTTGGAACTGTTTGAAATTATGGATTCTACAGGCCACATTCTATAAGAAAATTTTTTTTCCGGGTCGATCTCAGACAATTTTTTTCCGGCCTCAAAAAAAGGCAGTACTTTAAGTTATTCAAATATTTGAGAACAGAAATGTTTATGGAAAGTTTCCATTGTCACAAAATCAAATATAAAAATCCGATCAAAATATAAAATATAAAAATCATCAGCGTATCGTCTACTTTGGAACCGGTTGGACTATATGGTTCTGATGGAAAACGACCTGATGGGATAACACTTACAGCATATCCTAAAGGCCAATCCCTTGCATGGGACTGTGCATGCGTGGACACTTTATCCCAAACAAACATTAAAAGTACTTCAATAAGGGCCGGAGCTGCAGCAGAAGAGGCATGTCCAAAAAAACACAACAAATATCGAGATCTAAAGAAAGATTATATATTTATGGGACTTGCCTTCGAGACACTTGGACCATGGTGCAAGGAATCACGAGATTTTATGAATAAAATAGGCAAAAGCTTAATTGCGGAATCCGGCTACAAACGCGCTAAGCAATTTTTATTTTAAAGGATATCCTTGGCCATCCAACGTGGAAATAGTGCATGTATCCTGGGCACTCTCCCAACTGAAAAACAGTTCGACGAAATTTTTTTGTTATAAGTAGTTAATTATTGTTTTCTTCTTTGTTACACAATTTTAAATATTTCGTTTAAATAAAATTTTCGAAAAAAAAAATCCGATACAACTGAATACCGAACGATCCTAGGAACGATCCTGGAGTGAAACTTTTTGACTCGATAGTCTACGTAACTTAAAAACAATAGGTACATTTCTTATATCCTTAAGACCATGTGTACCAATTTTCAAAGCGATCGCACGTTTCTATACAAACTATCATGCACACGGACAAACGGATGGTCAAAAATTGATCTGTTCCAAAATCGCTAGGATTAATTTCAGAAAGCGTATTCTTAAGGATATAACTGGTATAAGAAAGGTCCTGGTAGGTACCTTCTATATAATAAAATAATAATAATACGCTTTTACTCCCCTTAAATTTGTATATAACAATAGAAATATAAAAAAAGCTAACTCCATACAAAGTATAACTTGATTTTTTAAGTAGTATTAAGACTTTTATCTAGAATACTATTTTAAATTTTTAATGTATTTGAGTGACAAGTATTCGAATACTTTTTATAGTATTCAAATACATTCTAAAGTATTTGAATACTTATTTTTAGCGCATTTTTGAAAAAAATACGCTATTATATTCGTTATTGCTGGCAGGCCGGCTGTCCGCGTGAGTTCTCCACAACTACAATAGCTAGAGAATTCAAATTTTCACTAAAAGCTTTCTGCTATAGTGTAGATGTGCAGGCACTAGTCTATTTTGAGTTAGATTACTTGTGAGATCGATAATTGAAGAAAACAGTTTCGATATGGGTTTCGGAGGTGCTATAATTTTACCGTTAGATAGCGCTACCAGTATAAAAACTTATTATTTACTTTGTGATTTGTTTTACAAAATGAAGACGTACCGTCAATTGAAATTAAATAAAATTAATTATTTAACGCAGCCAAAATTACTCCTGAGATCGATAATTTTAAACTTCGCTAATAAAATACTGACCTGCATTACCAAAAATGCGCTTTAATCATGCATTGCTGATTTACAACTTGTTTAAAGTATTTGAATACTTTTCAATGTATCTGTATCTAGTATTCGCTTGTGCTGGACGTAAAAGTATTTAGTATTCAAATACCTTTGAATTTTGTAAAGTATTTCTATTTAGTATTCAAATACTTTTTGAAAGTATTCTGCCCAGCTCTGGTGCAGACTATGTAAGGAAGAAACAGAGACGATAGAACACGCGTGATATACAGATGCAGCAAAACCAAGGCGAGCAAAACAGTAAAGGAAAATTCCAGGAAGATGGAAGAGGAATCGATTGGATGAGAAAAGAAGGAAGCGAAAAGAGAGGAATAAGAATAAACATTATGTAGCTATTTCTGATGTTAGTATCATATACATATATGTTATTGTACATACCTAAAGTCCCCAAAGCCGAAAGGCTAGGGTTAATAAATAATAATAATAATGTATGTGTCTAAAAGTAAATCAAAATTACGAAAAATTGTAGATATTAAACGTCATGAAAGCAAACACTTTTTAAAGCTTCATGTTGAACTATACCTAAACTTGGTAATAAAATGGCAATTCCTGCAGAAGTCGCCCAGAATTCGTTAATATATCACATTGTCACTTTGCGAAACATCTTGATTTTCATCTTTCACGATTATAAAGATTAAAAATGTAACTTCATGCGAGGACTAAAGGAATCCCCCTCGCATTCTCCACGATCTGAAATGAATGGAGCCAGCCGCAGTTTTTATTGAATTCGCTTCGCCGCCTTCCGACTTTTATAACGTAATGTAGTGTATTAAAATATGCGATATTGAAACGCGGGCGTTCCTACCTTTTTTTCCCGCATCACGTATACATCGCATTTCACCCGTCTGTCTGTTCCAGAATATTCGGTGTTAAATGTTCGCGTTGCGGGGACCGCATCCTTCCGCACGAGATGGTGATGCGAGCGCAGCAGCACGTCTTCCACCTGGCCTGCTTCGTTTGTGTCGTATGCTGTCAGCCGCTGCAGAAGGGCGAGCAGTTCGTCCTGAGGGCCGGCCAGCTGTTCTGCAGGCAGGACTTCGAGAAGGAGATGTACCTGATGCAGCAGGCGAGTTCGGGCGACGACGACATGCTGGAGGAAGGCAGACCTAGGGACGGCAGGCGAGGGCCGAAACGGCCGAGAACGATTTTGACATCGGCACAAAGGCGACAGTTTAAGGCTTCGTTCGAAGTGAGTCCGAAACCCTGTAGAAAAGTTAGGGAAGCGTTAGCGAAAGAGACTGGTCTTAGTGTTAGGGTCGTGCAGGTATGGTTTCAAAATCAAAGAGCGAAAATGAAAAAGATTCAGCGAAAGGCGAAACAGGAGGACGGAAAGTCGCCTAGTGATAAAGACAAGTCTGACAAAGATGAGAAGAGCATCAAGCAAGAATCGCCTTCCAGTGACCAAGGTCATTACTTAGGCCTGGGCAGCATGAGCGATTCGGCCTTTCCCACATCCAGTCAACCACTTAATCCGAATATCCCATACTCACCCGACGGTAAGCTTGGTCAAAGACTTATCCCTGAATAACACTAGATTTTCCAGATGCCTACCCCGCGCATTCGGGCGAGAGCTTCTGCAGTTCGGACATCTCACTGGACGGCAGTACAAATTTCGACCACCTGGACGAGGCGACATCCGACACGCTTTCACTTCAAAACATGGAACTTCCGACGTCTCACTCACGCTCCCACGAGCCCATGTCATCGGGCGCCATCACAAATCCAATCGACAAACTCTACCTCATGCAAAATTCCTATTTCAGCACCGAACAATAGACGAGTCGCGCTGCTCACGAACTAGTGGCTTGATTTCTTACGCAATTTTTATCTAGTCAGTAAACCATTTCCGAATTTAACATTATATTTGGCATATCTAGTTAATTTATTGGTTCGTGTCTTCTATTTGTAAATATATTCCTATAAATTGAATGTCAGAAGAAATTTTATAATAAATCTATATTTGTCATTGTAAATAGTATGTTATATATTGCTCCAAGTCGAATTACTCATTGTGATCATATATTTATGCCAAATATATTAACAATTAGTCATTGCCTAGATTTTATTATGTCTATTTTAAATAAATAACATTTATATTTTACTGTTTTTATCCCTTCGTACCAAATGAAAATTTCAGGTAAGTAAGTATTTAATTGTATTCTTATAAACTTAGTCAAGATTTTTGGACTTTTGTCCAGTTATTAGTTAATTTTTGTTACAAGGAACATTTGCATAGTTGTAAAAGTTCATCTCCGGTCCGCGATAAGAACTGTTATCGCTGCATACGCTAATTAAATATCAGAATAAGAACGTTTGATCGCCGTTAAGTAAACACAGATGTGGTTTGATTTTTCGAAAACGAAGGAATAAGGTGAAGAAAGGGGAGAGTTGTTAAATAGAAGAGAAAGTCGTTAAAGGAGGCTTTTTCGCTTGTTGCCCTATGCGTTTGTTTAATAGTGTGTCTTTTTGGCGGAAGACGTCAATAGTGTTTTTTTTACGTTAAAGCGCAGTCGTATTTGAGCGTATTTTTGTGCAAAAAAGTCAGTTTTATCATTTTTACCACCATACTTTCAAAATCAGAGCGTCACTTGCATTTACTGCCAAACGATTTAGACGATGCTCTTGACAACATGCCCCTAGCAGTAGTTCGGAACTGTTGAATACAACAGAATGGAGCACCTGCACATAATTCTATATACAGCCTTCGGGAATGATAGATTTTCATTAATTTATTTTTTTTGTTTTTTCTCTTAAATTGTTGTATCAATCATTGGGTTGTTATTAAACGTAGATAATAGAAACCATTAATTGTTTTAACTATATGGGTGACGTGACATCTTAGACCATATAGTACATGGACTGCTAATTGTAACTAAAATATGGTCAAGGACATCGCCTGGGTATGTGAATTTCAGGGTAAACGAGTCTGTCCGAAGTTGTCCGATTAGACACGATTTGAGACTGTCAACCTATAAATTAACAAACGTCAATTAATTAATCGCCTAGATATCCCAAAAAAAGCAGACTTATTCTGATTTGAGGACGTATAGTAAATAATGAAGAGTATTTAAAGCTTCCCGTACTACGCGGTTACTATAAAGCTGCTCTTTAAGCGATCCTAGTGGTGTTTACACGACTTTAGTTTACCCTGAGATTCACATACCCACGACTACAGTGCCCTCTATTCGTGACCATCCATTTTGTATTGAAAGCATAGGGCGAATAGCAGTCCATGTACTATATGGTCTAAGGGTCTAAGCTATATATGTATTTAAACAAAAATCTTTGTACAGGTCCGTAATAGGAATTTTCCTAACCAAGGTTGGCAGTCAGAATGGAATTTGCACAAGAAACGGTGGGAAAGCGGAATGGAAAACATTTGAAAAAATATCATGAGAAAAACTGCAAGAATTATAATAATCCAAAGCTCTACTAAAGGTATCCTCGAGCCAGAAACCTGCAGGATCTACGTTGGAATGATTTATATCCATTGCCGTTTCTACTTAAGAGTTGGGACACACCGTATATATACCTATACTGGGTCATTGTGTGTAGCTCTTCCTTAATAAGGAGTTTTGACAACTTTGCGGGAAACAAATTAATGCAAAATTGGGCAATTACTTAAACTGAAATCTAAATTCTGGCCAATTTTTTTGAAAATGCTACCAAAATTTAAAAATCACGCATGCTACATGATTAGGAGTCGCGTTTTGATTTAGGACTCATCAACTAACCATTGGGAGCGTTCAGGAGAGCTACCTAAAGGCAAGAATACTGCAGCAAGTAAGGCTCTCTAAATGTGAGTAAGCTCGGTCGCCATATTGGACCCAGCCAATGGAGGGAGTTGCCTTGTCAGCTGGTGAATGTTTACTAAACGTTGCTCTGTTTTTATAAATTTTCATGGTTGTATTGCCATTTTCGTTCTTTCGGAGTATAAATATTGCTTGTGTAGTGCCGAATTGGTGTAGTTATATATCAACGTGCGGTAGGAAGAAGGAATTAATAAGTATTTACTTAAATTCTGTTACATTAATTTAATAAGGTAAACTATTTACATTACTTGATCTTGGTCGTTATTCTTTTTGTTCAAGGAATGTGTTGCCTTTGCCCCTAAATGTGTTTCTGATAAAGTTTGCCAACTCAAACATTTCTTGTAAAATTAGGTTAACTTCTTACATGCATGTTTATCAAATTCATCAATTCAAATCATATACCTACATTATCACGTATATTATTATGGCAGATTATCAAGAACGCATTTTAAAAATGCCCTGCTGTGCAGCTCCAAATTGCAGTAACCGATCTGAGAAACGGTACAGTCTATACCGAATCCCAGCAGATGAGCCTCGGCGGTCGAAGTGGGTGCAAAACACGACACGAGATCGAGGACCCGATAAATGGCGAAAAGTGAGAGTATATGGTTCTTCGACAAAAAAAGAAACCAGATAGTAAATTGTAATTAGTTCCGAACTTTGTACCTATTTCTAAATGTATGTAAATTTTGAATGTTTTTCATATAAACCTTTTTACCTCTTTTCACTCATTAAAATAAAAACACTTAATTTAAAAATTGGGCTGAAATATAAAAGCAAAGAACTGTATTAATTTTTGTTTTTGTGCCATTTTCCTTGGGTAGCAAGTCGACACTTGTATGAACTTATTTCAATACATAAGCAGCTGACAGCGTTACTCGCTCCATAGGTTGGGTCCAAAATGGCCGTCGAGCATACCTACCTTTTTAGAGCTCTACAGCAAGATTACTGGCACGAGTTGCTGTCTGATAGCACTGCCGTGGTGTACACTGTAAGTGGGACATACGGTGGTATTTACAACTCGACAGTGCTATCAGACAGCAACTTGCGGGAAAAATCTTGCAAGAGTATTTCCGCCTTTAGGTAGCGCTCATGAAGTTTCGTCTGGTGAACGCGCCCATTTGATTTTTGAAGGTGCATAACCTAACTTTTATTGTAATAGTATTTCCCAAAATCTAAACAATAATGGCAAGTATCATTTTGAAAAATATAGTTTTCACTTACAGCAGTTTCTCGTAGCTTTTTTACTCATTTTTCAAATCCTTGGTTGGCAAAGACGTCGTCGTCGAACTTAAAAACGATTTAAGGTGAGTCCTCGATCATCTTCTCTCGTTGTAAACTCCTCAACTTTTAGTATCTGCGGCACTTTACATTCTGTCGACCAGTATTTAAACATCAAATTGACCGACATTAGCGTTACGGATACGGAGAAGTACCCTCACATGGTAATGTGACGAGACAGCTGTATTTGTTATACTTGAGCGTTGTTTTACAGCTTTCCGTTAAGAATTGTTTCATACGGGGATCGGTTGTGCGTTACGTGCAGTTGCCGGCGGATGAGGTCGACACACAGTTGCTGCAGGATGCCGCACGAAAGGAAGCGACGGCACCTACACGATAATTGTATATCTAAGTTACTAATAAGATAATTTTGTAAGACTCACCGTGATGTAATTATATGATTAACGTCTTGTGTGAGATTGTTTTAAATTGTCACAAATTTGTGTATCAAATAGATCCAATGGGGAAATTACGAAAAAAAATACGTATCCAATTATAGATTTATAAATGGTACATTAGAGATCAAAAGCACTATTTTCTACAAATGGGATTTATATTTAAATCATAATCAGTAATGCCACTTGAGGCATAGTCACAGTTTAGATACACTGTCTAGTTTGGAGACAGTATTCCGCAATAAATATATTGCATACATTATCTATGCCCTACACATTTTTTGTGCTCTACTTTTGATTGGTTGTAGCTAATGGTTAGAATTACCAGACTTCTTGGAGTTTGGGTTAGTTCTCAGAATATTCTTGAGATCCTCTTATAACTTTGTCTTGACTTACCCTGTACTTAGAGATAGGACCCGAAAAATATATGTACAGTGACTGTATATAGAAACAGATATATATGTAGAAACAGCGCAATCGCCATGTTGCATTGAAAATTAAAATTAGAAGTAGACAACACACAATACACGTACGGCATGTGTTCATATATATAAGAGAAGATATATGCATGTGTTGCGTACACTACAGTCTACAATACAATATTATACAGAGCGTTTGAGATAAGAGGGTCTTAATATCTCTGTTATTAATTATTTGGCGTGCTATATTCATTATGGCTATATAGGTTTCATAAATTTTCTTCGCAATTTGAATAAACAGAGTTAAACTTCGTTTTATGTCTATCACTAACCACAGCTAACTTCGTGATTATTATTAAACAACAATAAAAGTGTGGTTATGAAATGATTTAAATTGAAACTTCTGCTTCTTATTCACTTAAAAATGAGCATTTCTAAAGAATCTTTGAATATTTTTAACCGCAAGAACCACCGAGAAATGTTAACCCCTCACAGGCTGGCATTGGCAGTATTAATTCACGACTTCTTCACAATTCGGGAAGCCGGTATTTACAATCACCAAACTGGCCTTATCTACCGTAATTTTTTTCAGTAGACAAGGATATATCTAGAGCACACATAAGAGACTTCTGCATCCTAATATTGAAACTGATCCAAAGCCCCGATCTGATGCTAGCCGAATTACAAGACATACTCGGCTGCGGCAAATACCTGATACAGCAGCAGCTGATCGACGAATTCGACAACTCGCTGAAGCACCTCAACGACGACGGCACCGATTACCTTCTACAACTCGTCGATAACGTCGGTAAACTGATCTTACGCGATCCGGACGTCGTCACTACCAAACCCCAACTGCAGATCGGCAAGAAGAGCGTCATCGGTTACTATCTGCGGCGGCTGCTCATCAACTTCGACAAGCTCACGTTTTCGGAGGTCTCGTCCGTTATCAGCGCGTATCGACGCTATTACTCGCCGAACGTGACCGAGAAGAAGCTGGGGATGAATCGCAAGTTGAATTTGGTGTTCTACGAAGATTGGTAAGTGGTTGGGGAGGATGGAGGGGATGATTAAATAGTTGTAGTAGGGTGCAAGGGGAAATCTGTAGTGTACACTTTACAGTCATTTACAGGTGACAGTTTTAACTTCACTCCGACCCCTGCACACTAATTTTCTTGCAGTTTTACGTGAGACTTCTTTTTTTCGGTTTGATGCTAGTTTCTCTCGACTCGACGTGAATTGCCCCGCGCCTTAATCTGAATGTTTTCGCGACTCAATCTCAATTGCCCGACCGTTCTTTTCCAACAACTTTTCTGATTCACACCACCTCTGGGACGCAAAATTTTGTCCACCAATAAAAACTAGCTTTTTCCGTCCAATCAGAACTCTTGACTCTCAACTCTACGTGGTGTGAAATCTCTCTGAAACAACAAATAATTGACCATTTCAAAATCGTACCCTAATTCTAGCTAATTTTGTCATGTCCTCCGACTTCCCGGCGCCACCAGCTTTCGCACGCATTTACGTCCGGACCGCTCGCCCACATAACATCGAAAAATTTAAGTAAAAAGTTTGAATCAAATAAATCCGTTAACGGGCGGGAGATTCTAAGAGGACCATAAAAAAAGTCTAGCAATATCAGCGCATCTCAAAAATCTTCTAAGAAACTTTGAAGACATAGGAAGATCTACAAATTTTGGAGGAAAGAGAAAACCTTTAGATTCGTCAACTTTTATTCAATCTTCTTATTAAGATAAAGATTAGGATCAAAAGTCGCTCTCAAATCGTCAGATTATTAAAATGCACACTTTTCAACACGTAGTCAACCCTTACTTTAATCTGACGTGCTCGAGTAAATCCCCTATTGGCCTACCGTACTACCATTAAAAGGTTCCCGTTACAGTTTCTCTTAGCCTCCTCCGACTATGAGAATCTGCAACCTTGGGAACAATTGCATTCCTGGTATGGACGTACCTATTTTTGCAGGTATTCAAATAGGGATCAATGGTCTAAAGGGCAAGCGCAACTGTTTATCGCAACACAAGCCGCCCTGCTGACCAGTAACGAGGAGAAGGCGTTTAATCCTAAGGAGCTGGGGTTGCACATCAGGAATTTGATTAAGACCAATCCCGATTTGGCGGAGGGGGTAAGTTCGGCGGTTAAAGGATCGTTTTGCTCAGTGATCGAGTTTTAGCACTTTTTGAGTTACTTGAACTACTTACGCGTTAAGGAATACTGCGGCGCGATCAGCAGCCTCTACCATTGTTTCGATAAAAGCGGATTTATCGACTCGAAGGGAAACGTCGACGAGATGAGCAAGGGATTTCGGTTCGCCGCGCTTAATTTGGCCGTGCTTTACTTTCATTTCGGCCATCGGTGAGTGCAGCGTTGGCTTGTGCCCGGTGCGAAAGCTTCTGTTGTAGAAACGAGGCTTTGGCAGCACTGAAGGAGGCGATCATGCTCGCCCAACAGGCCAATGACAACGTGTGTCTGCAGCACGCGTTATCTTGGCTCCATTGTTTAACCAACGCAAATAAAGATAAACTACTCGAGCATTCCATTTTGAAGAGTCTCGATTTGAACTTGCCGTACATCGTATCGCTCGGGATCCAATCTTTTGTACAATTCGCTGGGATTAGTGGCGGTACACCGAAGTACATATTTGAGGTATGTAAAAATCTAATCTGCTGAAAACCCCCTGTACAATCCGGTCCTTCTGTGCTTACCTCACACCGCACCGAACACGTGGACGTTGTTATCGCTCGACATACTTTCGTTCACGTTCGCTATAGAGCGGTACATGTGTAAATTTTAACAAATATTTTAATTCTAATGCGACCACTCGTTACGTCACGCTTTGTTCTATCCCCTAAAAAGAGACGCATAAGATAATAAGGTGCCTGGGGAGGGGATACTATCGTTGATATCCCCACTATCAATTTTAATTATTTCACAGGAAAAGTAGACCCATTTGTTTGAATGCAATGGTAACGGCACTTCCTCCCTCCTCAAGGTGCGAATAAAAATTATGCTTTTCACATTCCCTACTATAAATGAGAGAAAAAGGTTTTGAATCCCAAAGAGTGCAATTTCGTTTCTTGTTCAGACCATAACAAGAAGCGATATAGTCAACTGTCAGCACGGATTCGGCGATCTGACCTGTAGCAGCTACGCCCAGAAATCGGGCATGTGGCTGTTCTACGGAAAGTCGGAGATGTCGTCGCTCTGGAGCCAGCTACTTCTCCACCTGACGCCGGAAAGTAACCCGTTGGGAATCACCTACTTCGGGGAGGCCCTGTGCCAATCGATATGCAACGTTGCCGTGCAATTGTTGAACGAGGCGGAATACGAGAAGTCCTACGCCCTACTGGTGTTGGCCAAGGAGAAGTTTCCGCACGAGCCCGTATCGCACACGTGGCTACTTTGCGAGTGCATTTATACGTTCACGCGCTGCTTGCATAGGCAGGAGTGGATCGAGGCGGAAGCGGCAGCGCAGAGGATGGCAGTGTACGATGTGTGCGAGAGCCGTTTGCGGATCGTCGAGCTCTTCATACAAAAGCGGGACTTTAGCGCCGCCTATAAGTGCATTAATGAACTAATCGATGTTCACAATGACTTCAATTCTCGGTTACGAATTGACTATCACGTTCGCGCGATGATTTTGTACGCGGAGATACGATACGCCAGCTGCTACCCGGACGTGATCCCGCCTATTGCGCTCCACGCGTGTTTGGCCTACGCCAACGACTTCTTCGTCGACTACTTAGGCGCGCTAAGTCACTTACGACTGGCGAACATTCAGCTACTAATGAAACTGCCGGCACAGGCGCTGAAGCTTCTTGATAAATGCCTGCTTCACATTTTAACGCACGGAGGTCTCTACGATCGCTCCAGGGCGATGCTCTGCTACGCCAAGTGCATCGTTGCGAACTCTAAGGGAACTGCCGAACGAAATAAAACTATTCTGGCCGCCGCCGAAATGTTGACGAAGGTTGTCGCCGGGTTCACGAAGGTCGAAGCCTATGCGAAAGTGAAGGATGCCTTACATTTACAAGTGAGATCGATATCAATGATTTATTAACCCAAATTTTAATGTTTTAGGCATTATTGTACAATGAACTGAATATGGTGGCCGAACGAAACAAGTGCGCGTTTGACTTTCGATTAGTCGAAGAGGATTATCCGACCGCTAGTAACATTACTCCAGTTACATATTTGTAGTGATCCCCGTGCGCGTTATGTAATTCTCATGTTGAGAAGTAAAGGAGGATATTCTTTCGTGAGACGAGAAGAAATTTGTATTGATTTTGTTAATAAAAATTGCCTTTATAGAATTTGGCTATGCCATGAAGGGATCGACGGTTTTTCCAACAGCCGACACAGGCGATAACGCTCAAAATTAAAACTCCTTTACATCTTAAAAATACGGGACCAGTGCCAAAAGTCAAAGTTTTTTAAGGGCGCATCTAACGGATGCAATTTCGACTTAATCGGACGCTGTTATCTGTAACCCATTCAACTAATTACGGTAATTATACTTATCTAAATAGTCGGAATGAAATTTGGTAGTCCAGCAATGCCCTTTTGTTTCTTAGAATGCGAGGTAAAGCGGCGAAATCTGGTATCACGTTGATACTTTTCTTAAACGGCCGACCTTGCCGGTTCCGTGCTCTTCCCTTGTTATTGTTTGCGTGGTTAATAAACCTGTGTACAGTTAACTTCCGCTCCTCTTTCGTAGATATACAGGGGACAACCTGAACCAGTTCAAGGTCGCTCGCCACCTGGTGGTGACCTTGGATAAGAGGTCAAAGTAACGTACCACCTGGCGGTAACCTTGGAAATTGGGTTAAGGTAACAGTCGCGTGTCACGTGGGCGGTGACCTTGGAAAGAAGGTCGAGGTACAGCTCAAAGGACAAGCTGAGATCGTATTTTGTTACTTGGGTGTACTTTACATTTTTAAGATCAATGGTCACATTTTTTGCGGGGTCAAGTTAGATGTTCGAGGTCATCCAAGGCCATGTTGTGGTGTCAAATTACAATTTGAAGGTCAATGACTATTTTTATGTGGTTTCGAATGACATTTTCGAGGTCACCCAAGTTCAATGAACCCATTTCTTATATTTTGAAGGGCAATGGTCTCATTTTTATGTGGCGTCTAATTACATTCCCAAGGTCATCGAAGCTTAATGAACCCATGTTTGTGGTGTCAGCATGTAACTAGACGCCACAGAAAAATAGGCCATTCATCTTGGGTTAGGTAATTAGACACCACACTAAAAATGAGATTATTGACCTTCGATGAGCTCTAACATGTAATTTGACACCGCAAAACATGATGCTATTGACTTTTTATGTAATTTTACACCACAAAAATGGGTTTACTGAATTTGGATGACCTTGAGAATTAGGCACCACATCAAAATGAGACCATTGATATGGTGTAGGTCCCTATGTCCTTATTAATTTAATTTGACACAGCAGACGAAGGGTACATTGACCTTGGATGACCTCGAGACTAATTAAACGCCACATAAAAATGAAAGTCGTTGCTCTTCTATGACCGTGACAAATGACAATATGTAATTTGACCCACAAAAAAATGAGGGTATTGTCCATGAATGACCTTGAAAACTTAATTCGACTCCACATAAAAATGCAGTCATTGACCTTGGTAAAATATCATTTCACAGCACAAAAATGGGGCCCTACATGGTAGTGTCGTTTCTATAAGATGAAACAGTGTTGAAGATGAGAGCGAGACACCTTGTAGTGAAAAATACGTGTTGTTATCGACATTTCCGGCTGAGTATAGGAAACAGCAGTCAGGACATCAATGACAAAAAGGCGAAAGAATTTCTAAAATACCCCCCCCCCCCCCAAAGAAATTGCTACAAAATTTCCGCGTCACTTGACGCATTATACGATGCATATTCGTTGGGTATTGGGTACGTCACACCGTTACCACGGTAACGGCCGCACTCGATTGGGTTAGGTCAAATTAGGGAATTATTTAATTTTATGTGTTGTAGGTATTTATAGTGTGTATGATAAATTTAAAACGAGCTACTGTAGTGTACTTAACCCCAGGTTCTGCGCTAACTTCACACTACAGGAACACGGAAATAAAGTCAATCCGGCAACGTTTAAAAATGGCCACCTCCCAAAACTAAACAAGATCCCGCTTAAATTTGAAAACATCTAAGGCAGAGTCCCCTTACGTTAGTTGTAGACAACGCTTTGACCTGAAACACAGGTAGGGAAGGAACGTTAAATAAACACTGAAATTGTGAAAAGTTTGTTTAATAATGATCGTAATTATTAAGATGGTGAAAGCCCGGAAATTTAGTAGATTTACGTTGATATAAACAAAGCAAGCATAGCCAAAAAGTGTCGTACTCTCGCAAAAGTAACTGCTAAGGGTAAAAAGAGTACGACGTAAGAAAAACCTCGCAGTTTGATTAATTCAGTCCAAAAATTAAATTAACAAAATATTTTGTAAAAGTTTAAGCAGTAGTTAACAAAGATAGTAAATGCATATACACAATGTTGGTTTCACTCAAGTTTTTGGGAACAATGGGTCAGGTAGAAGCAGGTACCTAAATTCTGAGAAAGGGTTCAGAGTACAGGATGTGCCACATCTTTGGTGCAATAAAGTCCTTTTGTTAAAAGCAAATTACATGGCCTTGTAGGCAAATTTAACTAAAAACGACATATGTGGAAATTATTGAATCGCCATTTATTTATCGCACATAGATTCTAAACTGAAGAGCTTTGATTAGCGTAATCCCGCTCCTGCAAGATGGGTAGCCCGCCCCTGGTTTCTGGGTTTCGAGCCTACAGTTGGATGTCGAAGACAATCACGGAATTAGGTGTCGTAACTCAATTTTGACTACAGTTTTTTTACCACTCCCGTGCTTCATTCACGGAGAAAATTGTTAGTAACAAACAACAAGTCAATACATACCTCAAACGAATCGGTAATTTCCACATATTAAAATAAAATGATTAACACTTACAAGAATGTTACTTCAGGGACAAGTAATCAACATCAATAAACATAAATTAAGCAAACATTACACCAAAAACGTGCACAATTACAAACAATAGCCTAACGGTATCACATATGTGATTTTGCATTACGGTTAAACCAAGTAAATTTCAAAAACAAATATTGAAACACAAAAAATATAAAATGCGGCATACAAAACACAAATACGATATAAAGAAATGCAAAAATTACTACCTGCATTAAATAACACAAAATAACAACAAACATTTATGCAGCGACGCGTTCACGACCGCCATTCAAGACAAGATGATCAACGTAACCCACATTCGTGCTTTCTAGGTGGCGCAGGAAGCTTTTCCCCACCTAGAAATTGCATGGTTGCCAACTCTCAAAAACGTATGTATCGTCGTAAGTTGTATATACAGGGACATTTAATATACGAAGGTCGTTTAAAAAGTAAGTTTAACGACCTCACTGCTCTCTAGCGAAAGACGCATGAACCATGAAACATTTTCCAAGGTCATATCTAAGTTGTTTGGAAGTAAAATAGAGTGCGAGTGATAACATTTTACACTAAACGTGCCCTTAGAAAGTGCGTACAAATTAAGATGTCTCAACGCGAACAATAAAACTACGACCAACATTCATGCAGAATTGCATCTACGGTCTACGATGCACGAGTCTCCAGACGAGGAGTGATTTTCATCCATGACAACGCACGGCCACATTCTGCCCGTTTGACACAAGATAAAATTGCAGTAATGCCAATGGCGACTACTTTCCACACCAAGTGACTACCATCGAGCACCGAGCACGTGATAAAAATGCGGGATTTATATTGGTTAAGAAGGCGCGCTTTCCGCAACAGTTGCGGTCGGAAAAAGGGGGTCGTTTGGTACTTGGGATTCGACGAGGTATTTAAGTAAAAATCTGGAGGGTGCACTGATGCAAATTTACGTATCATGAGCGCGGAGATTTATAGATCGCGTGAAATGAAATCCTTCGTAACTTATGTACGCCATTTTAAAGATCCGTATAACCGCAGTGCGTGGGAGAAACGTTGGTCTCCCAACCGAAGATTGTGAAACCATTTTCGACGAATCTATTGTCATATATTGGTAGGTGCTTTATCAAGTGGGGGCTGCCCTTTCGAACAAAGTCAATAGGAGACTAGTTTTATGCAACAAGGGAACTTATTTTAACAGACGACGGATATATTTTCAACCGTGAATTGCGCGAAACGTAAACCAATAAAGTTGTTGCCTAGCGTACTCTCATTTAAATAAATGGCTACCACGAAAGCGTTGAGGTGCAAGATGCAAAACGTTTCATTGCGCTATATTTGAAGTGGCTAGCAAGTTTACCAATCAAAACTGTGTGCCTCTCTTATGTACACGGGGTGTTATTAGATTTACATTAAGCGGCGACCTTTTCTCCGGCCCTGAAATAAACAACGCATTACATAAATACTATAGCATTTATAAAAAGGAGTATAAGTAGCTGAGTAAATTAAATTGTAGTATATTAATTAGCAGGTAAGTTCTTGTTGGAGAGTTTTCATATGACAAGCAGCTCGTTGCAGAGCTTCAATTTCGGTATCCGTTAAAGGCAGCTGGACTATCTCGGACACTCCATTTGCACCTAAAACGCTCGGCAAAGAAAGGTAGACATCGTCCATGATTCCGTAAAACCCCTAAGGAGACGCGTCCGTTTATGGAGTTGAGTAAGTCCTCATACCTTTACGGGCACACTGACCGAAAAAACTTTGCGTGTGTTCTGCAGAATTGATTTGACCATGTCGCTGATGCTAAGCGCTATGGTCCAAGTCGAAGTACTTTTGCCGTCGTACTTGGTCACCTTTATTATTTCCTCGTGAAGGCCAGGCCATTGGTCCGTTGAGGATATGCGCGTACCGCCAACGGACAATGTTGACCACGCTATAACTAACCAAAGATACTCTGGTGCTAAGAGTCAGCCGGTACATACCGCTACAGTCTCCGTGATCGCCAAGCACCCAGCCGCTGCAACTCTCTGGCGCCACGCCATACTTTTGAGATATTAGGTGCCTCAATCTGACCGAATCGACGTGACAGCCGGTTCCGATTATCCGATTTTTGGGCACACCAAGAGTTTTGGCACATTCCTGGGTGAGAACATTCACCGGGTCTGATACTATAATCAAAAATGTATGAGGCGAGTGTTTAATGACATCAGCAGAGATATTTCGTATCATATCGAGAGGTTTGACATCCTTGTCGCTCGCCGCTATTATCGTCACGTACGAATTTTGGGTAATTTTCAGATCTACAAGCCTGAATTTAGAATCGTTTAGACTGAACGAAGTTAATAGGTACCCGTGCCGCCGACCACACTTGGATCGTACAAAAACTGCGAGGCATGCTGAAGATCGAGCACTTCACCTTTCAGCTTTTGCTCATTGAGCGATACAATCGCGATATCATTGGTGATATTCTAAGGTCGATTAATGAGCACCTGTAACGAATTCGATCCAAACTACCTGCGCAAGCAAACTTACTGCCACAGCGATACCGACGTTTCCCACGCCGATTATGCTCACTTTACTTCTATGACATTCGGCGGGGTTGGAGAGGTGGTGGAGGATTTGGTCCTTTGTGCTGCTCGAACCTACAGACCACCGGTTAAATTGAACGTGGGGGAGAGGAAGGAGCGTTACATCGATTGGACGAGCAATAACTCTTCTTTAGGCGATACCTTCGTGTTAAGATCGACAGAAATTTGTTTGCAAGTGACATTTTTTATGGGAAAGGTGACACTGACATGTACAAAAGTTTGACTGTTCGCCTGTAGTGAACATATAACCTTCAAGTAAATCTGCGTTTACATAAAAATTGAGAAATGCAACAGGGATGGTAATGGGTAGTTACAAAACCTGTAACGTATTTTATTTACACACCCCACGGTAATTTACAGGTCATTGACCTAACTTCTCTTGCGGCTAAACGCGCTTTCGAATAAGCCAAAGTAAAAACCACCAAGTGGTACTTTACAGGGTGTTGACCTTACTGTACTCGCTGCTCAACGCGAATTCCTTTCGGTTCCTTCAGAACAGACAGCACCCAGTACTTTATGTTTATGGATGACTCCCATCCCGTGAAGCAAACCTTCTTTTTACCGAGAAACTATATTTTACCCATTCAATCAGATTGGAGGCAATAAATCAACTCAACATGGAGTAATTTCCTGCTTACTCTGCCATTCCCACACGACGCAGCAGCCCGATATCTACGACTGCAAAACAAACAAGATCTTTCCGGTAATCTAAACCCATCACGCTATATCCCACGACCCATCGGCTCCTTACGAACCACACTTATTCAACGTGTGCAAGTATTGCCAAAGCAATATTTTCCCAGCCAGAATCGAAACGGTGAATCGACTGCACCAAAATTTCTCGGGAACACTTTTTCTAATTAATTTTGGTGTTTAGAATCCATAACAATTCGTACTTTTTCGATTAGACCTCCCAATAAAAAGTTATGGACAAAAAACAAATTTCGAAAAAAAATTCAAAAGGCCGTAACTTTTGGACTAGTAGCCCAATCTTGGAACTGTTTGAAATTATGGATTCTACAGGCCACATTCTATAAGAAAAATTCCGGGTCGATCTGAGACAATTTTTTTTCGGGCCTCAAAAAAAGGCGGTGTATAATCTTCCTTTTTTACCAAAAATCGACTACACCAAAATTTCTCGGGAAAACACTTTTTCTAAATAATTTTGGTGCGTAGAATCCAAAACAATTCGTACTTTTTCGATTAGACGTCTCAATAAAAAGTTATGGACAAAAAACAAATTTCGAAAAATTTCAAAAGGCTGTAACTTTTGAACTAGTAGCTCAATCTTGGAACTGTTTGAAATTATGGATTCTACAGGACACATTCTATAAGAAAAATTTTTTTCCGGGTCGATCTGAGACAATTTTTTTTCGGGCCTCAAAAAAAGGTGTATAATCTTCCTTTTTTACCAAAAATCGACTACACCAAAATTTCTCGGGAAAACACTTTTTCTTATTAATTTTGGTGCGTAGAATCCAAAACAATTCGTACTTTTTCGATTAGACTTCTCAATCAAAAGTTATGGACTAGAAATCAATTTCGAAAGAAAATTCAAAGGGCTGTAACTTTTGAACTAGTAGCCCAATCTTGGAACTGTTTGAAATTATGGTTTCTACAGGCCACCTTCTATAATAAAATTTAACCAAAAACAAGATATGGGAAAATTACGAATCGTAACTCATTTATCGCACATAGATTGTAAACTGAAAAGCTTTGATTGGAGTAATCCCGCTCCTGCAAGATAGGTAACCCGCCCTTGGTTTCGGGGCTTCGAGTACTCAACTATGTTTAGTATATCACTATATCCTAGGTTTGCCAGATTCTGTGTAAGGTTGGGATATAATAAGTGATACCTGAAGCACAAATTATTATAAATTAGTTTAATGCATTACAGGCATGATGTATAAATTAGGTAATTTTTACAATATAATACACCATAATATATGAATTAAATCAACTATATAAATAATATAATAAAAAATGTGAAGAGTGCATCTGTATAAGAATGTACAATCTAACTTTATACATCTTGTAAAAAGCATAAAAGCTGCAGATAATATACATACACATATTACAAACGAAAGGACGTACTTACATTATTTTACCTAAAAGTATTTAAATATAATTAAATCTCTCCACCGTTTTAAATATAATTATCTTCTTTTTAAAAGTCGCATTGACTCTAACAACTAATTTGTCGCTCAGATCATCCTCTACATATAATGTATATCTTATTACCAAAATATTTTACATACTCGTCATTTATTTTATTCATCACATTCGGACACAGAAACATTCACGAACAAATTATTAATATAATAACAACGATAACTAGGACTCACATTAGTATCAAACATGTTAAATATTATTCATAATATATAACCGAGTACGCTATGCTCCTAGAGAAGTCTAAAAAATTATACCACGTTATCCGAAATAATATAACAATCTTTCAAACGTGTGTTCTCTCGACTGTAACGCAAATCACATTTGAAACCTTTAAATGCGGTCTTCAATCACATTATGTTCGAAACTAAAAAAGGCATTATGCATGTATTTCAAAGTCCGTTAAGTGTATTTTCCTCCAAAAATGAATGATTTGGTGAAATAATAAAAATAAATCGACTCCCATACATTTAATGGACTTTTTCAACTTATGTACAACATAGTATGTAACTACATTACATATAACAAAAATAAAATGTTCAATCAGTCCCTAGCACATATTGCTTTCTTCATTTCGCTTTTATTCATCATCACTGTTTACAAATATAATTTGGGGCTTATTATCCATAAAAAAATACAAATTTATGTAGGCGTCTGTGTGTACAATACATGAGATCTAAAAAAAGCATACAAAGCAAAAAAGTGCGGGCAGACCATATTGCTTACATATTTTTACAAAAAAATCACAGTATGATTCAAGAGAAAAATCGTTATCATTAATAAAAACACGCAGTTGTTACTAAGCTTAATTTTCTCTTTCTTAGAAGTTTAGAAAGAATGGAAAGAGCGAAAAGCACTAACAACCACCGTCGGGCCTGCTACCGAAATGAAAATCGCGCAGGAAAGCAGCACAGGTAGGTAGAGTAGTAGTATCTCCCATATCATTCTTATAAAATACACAACATTAACAAGTCTATTGACTAACAAGTCTCCATGAATTATTGTATCACACAGCACTCGCACTTTGGTTTCTTTTTTATGACGACATGTTCAACCTGAGACGCGTCCCCCGCGGGTATTAGAGTTCCCCTTTGTACGTCCACAGCACCGGGCGATGAGACCTTGTCATTCTTCACGTTACCGTTCGCACTTTTCGGCGTCGCGTTGAGGACCGTCGCCTTCTTCGGCGACTCGGTGATCGGCTCGTGCGCTATGTTGTTCGCGAACGACGAGTCGGTGTGATCGTGCAGGATCGGGGACGGCGGTCCGCCGGACGTCGGCGTTATCGGCTTGCCGCCCTTGATCAGCTCGACGATTTCGTCGGCCTCGCGACTTAGATCGCCGCCCGGTCGAAACGGGTTATCCCAGCCGCTTTCCGTGCTGCAAAAAAAAATTTCAATTAAAAAAAGGTTTTTTTTTGTTCAGAACTAGGCGTAAACGACATTAAAAAACCATTTTTCGACTTTTTGTTATACGATTCCGGGCGAAATTAGAGATTCGGCGAAAGCGGATATGACGCATTCTTCTTTCCGGGAAATGTGGCGTGTTTGTTGGAGAACATTTGAGAAAGATGGGCGTTTGCTATATAAGTAAATCGAATTGTGTTTCAGTTAAAATTTGAAAATATTCGCTCGCTTAAGAGAAAAATTATCAATTTCAGAATGACCCCGTATTTTATTATGAGTTTTATTAGTTAAGAGAAATACAGAAAAATGTTAACTATAAAAGTTTCTTTAATGATTGTGTTGAATAATCTGTCATCTTCAGAATAAGTGGTCAAGTAAAACAGTGATCGGACCTAACCGCATTCTTTTAAATGGAACACCCTGTATAGTTTAATCTAAAAAGTTAGCATATTAAATTCTCTTTTCAAAAATGTAAACAGATTCACGTGATTAAAAAAATCCAAAAAAACTCAAAATAGATTTAAAAAAGATTCAAACGACCACAAAAAAATTCTAAAAGTTTTTTGAATACAGATACAGAGTGTTCCAATTAAAAAACTTAGGTTAGGTCCGATTACTTTTTGATCTGGCCCCATAACCTTTGCAATAAAGATTTTTCTGTATCTCTTTTATAAGAAAATGAGAACCATTCTGAAACAGACAATTTTATTTTTTCCGCATTTCTCAAAACGAGCGAAAATTTTCAAGTTTTGATTTTACCATTTGACCACTCAAAGTCTCAAAAACAGCCTTTTTTGATTCCTCTAAGAAAAACGAAGATACCCTGTGAAAGCGTCAAAAATGGGACACCCTGTACATAATACTCCAATGAATTCTATACTCAAAATTAACTCAGTGGTCCATTTTTAATCTAAAGTTAACGAATGGAGTACGAGTACTTACCTAAACCGTTTCTTTTCGTTAGAGAAATATCGTGTATAGTTGTATAGTGTAGTGTCAACACCAAAACTAATGACGGGACACTTCGTATATGAATTTATTTCAATTTACTAGTAAATTAAGTAAATCTGGAGGATTATTCACGAAATAAACACAGAGTTAGTTCGTTTCATTTGAATTTGTATCTCGGTGTTGTTTTTCTTTTGAAAATGTTGTTAATTCCTGTTGAAATTTTATAGCTTTTGTAAATTATTCAATTTAGATAAGGTGTTAGAAATCAGACACATCTGGTCGTTTGCGATAAGGAGTCTTATTAATCAGGCGAAAATTAATTAACGTACTTGTTTTATCGCTGTTAAGAGTTTAACGCAGATGCAGATGTTACGAAGAATTGGACGTTTCTTGTTGGGGAAGTGGATACTTGGTGGCTGGTTCCGTTGTGATTGGCGAGAAGCGCAAGCGGATATGGCGCATTCTTCTTTCCGGGAAATATGACGTCTTTGTTCGAGAACATTCGGAAACGTTCGAGAACTTTCGAGAAAGATGGGCGTTTGCTATATAAGTAAATCGAATTGTGTTTCAGTCAAAATTTGAACATAATCGTTCGCTTAAGATACGGGGGAAAATAAAAAATTGTCAATTTTACAATGACCCCATATTTTATTACGACTTTTATTAGTTAAGAGAAATACAGAAAAATGTTAATTATAAAAGTTTATTTAATGATTGTGTTGAATAATCAGTCATCTTCAGTGGTCAAGTAAAAAAGTTATCGGATCTAACCGCATTCTTTTAAATGGAACCCCTGTATATTTTAATCTAAAAAGATAGCATATTAAATTCTCTTCTCACGTGATTAAAAAAACCAAAAAAAGATTCAAATGATATCAAAAAGTTTTTTGAATTTGCTTACATCTTTTTTGAATTTTCTTGAATCAATATTGAATTTTTTGTGTCATATTTTTGAAAAGAGTTTAATGTTATCTTCTTGTACTAAACTATAGAGGGTGTTCCAATCAAAAAACTTAGGTTAGGTCTGATTACTTTTTGATCTGGCCCCATAACCCTTGCAATAAATATTTTTCTGTAGCTCGTTTACATAAGAAAATGAGGACTATGAAATAGACAATTTTTTGATTTTTATTTTATGACGGCAGTGGTGATTCCTTAAATACTGGAATCAACGTAAACAAAACGACGGTAAATGTAAATTTGTTTACGCTAAATCTCGGGCAGTCAGCCATATTTGTTTTGTTAAGACGAAATTAATCATTTTTAATCATTTTTATAATAAATCTGCGCAGAAGAAAGTTCACCAAAGTTGTGTTGTATAGTGAGGCTCTCTGTGAGTTTCTACCGTCCGAGCAGCCACCGAAAATTTGTTGTTCTTGCTCATCAAACCAGTTTTGGTTGTCATCTAATCAGTGGTATCAAGAACAAGTGAAGTTTCCAGAAGCTGTCACCGTATGTGGGTGAATTAAGTGTGTCTGAATGTCGCAAACCTTTTACGACCAGATTATTTGAATTATTAAAAAAAACTAGCTAATTTAAGGTTTGTTTATTTTTAATTATTAACCGCCTGCGTGCGGAGTTATTATGTCCAAACAAGCTCTCGGCGATTTTGTTGTAACTGTTTCATGTATTTCGGAATACATTTTTGTCACAATCAATTAGTTGTGTGCGTACTCGAATCCTTTGTGCGACCCAGTCAAGAGAGGAGGGGTGGGTTTACCCAGAGCTAGGGAAGGTAGGAAGCAATTTGTACCTCGAACCCTCAGGTTAATTTTGCATTTACTGTGGACTGTAATGGACGTGAATTGTAATGTAATTTATTTGCTGAATTCCAATCAATTCAAAAATTCATTTAAAGTAGGTACACTTTAAAGTTAAAAATAATAAAATTTAATTTAATTGTATAAAATGTAAATGTTTACCTTGTAAAACTTACAATTGAAATATTTGTATTAACAATAAATTTAAATTTATTGTTTACTGTCGATATTGTAATTAAATGAAATTTGTACATATAAAGGCCATTTTTATCATGAGATTGCATTAAGTTAAAAGACGCACCTTATAGAGGTGATAAGTGGAGTTGGATTGCGTAGGAAAACGCGAGTGACAGACGGATTTGACTGAAATCGCAAATAGCAATTTATTTAACCGAAAACCGTGCATCGGATTGAAAAAAACAAAATTTGTTTAAAAATGATTGGGGATTTCAAGAATAATTTTTATTTTCAGAGAAATCAGTGGCGTACCATCAATGTCTGCCAAAATGGGCATGTGAAATTCCGTACGAACGCCACTGGTGGAAATTAAAAAAATGTGGTACGTTAAAAAATGCCTCTGGATACACACAGTCAATTGTTTTTCGTTGCTCATTTGTTTTCTGAAATAAAAACAACTGAATGCTGCCTTATTATGGGAAATAAAATGTTAAACAGCTTTAATATGGAAACATTTTGTATACAGTCGATATTTACCGAGATATATACTATATTCCAATAATAACGGACACTCTGTATAATGTGCCGGGTTGTAAATACGGACACACGAATAGGCAAACATAATTATGAATCTCGAAAAGGGGCTCTACAGAAATCTTTATTGCTAGTTAATAATTGAGTAATAGTTATATTAGATGCTGTGCATATTTTTTCATACACACTTTTAACAGTTCCAATTGGGCTAATTATTGGGACACCTCTCATAGCTCGGGCTTCTATTGGCGGCACGAAAAAGAGAGATCCCGATTCGAGCTTTAAGAAACTTTAAACCGCGTGACAAAATTCGCAGCGGAAGATACCTTTTGGGTGCCCGAAGTCGACTACCCATCGAAGACGCGCGCCTCGCAAAGGGTGGTTAATTTCGTCCCTGGGAAAAAACAAAATTCCACCACGCAGGAGTTGTACGCGTTTACCAGATCTCTCCGAGGACACCAATTTGAAAACAATCGGACCAAAATTGTAGAAGAAGATAGGGGAAAACTGAAAAATCTCTAGATTAGCACGCCATGCTCGAGGATGGCGCCCAGATGTCGCCTACACCACATCATGTAGCGTTCTTCTACTGGTCCGCATTTGCCCCCAGCCGGCCGGCCGGCCAAAGTGGGATTAAAAGTTACCTTTTTACAAATACCCGCCCCCCGTTTATTTTCTTAATTTCTTTTATAGGGAGATCAAATCGAATAAAGTATAATATACAGTTCTATTATAAGGTTAGGACCAAAAATTATGTAAAGAAAAAATTTGTGCTTACATACGCAAACGAAGTCAAAAACGAATGAAATATATAGCGCTCCATTATTTTAATGTTGGAGGCCTAAAATCGTAAAGGTATCCCCTCGGGTATCCCCAAAATTTTTATTTTCTCAGAATCTTTGTTTAGAGAAATGCGCAAACGAAAAATCGACGTGTGCCTAAATGTGCAATCGAAGGAACTATTTGATGTTTCATTATTTTAATGTTGGGGGGGGGGGGCTAACATTTCCAATGCTAAAACATCGCTACCTACTTTTCTCGCTTGAGGAAAGAAAGAGAGGCGCACCCACTTGCAAACCTTCGTCCTCGAGTAATTTGAATTGTTAAGATTGGCGGTAAAATATTTCCAGTAGCGTATCAGATGCGTCTTTCGCCATTAATGAAGTGAGCTCAGGCAAGAACCCAAGAAACTTGTGGCACAATGGGGAACTACTGCGTGAATTTAATGTCCTTTATTTTGAAAACACATTTTTTATGATTTAATTACCTAAACTCAGGATTTAGGTATCTTTAGAACTATTACACTGCTTCCAGAGCTCTTAATTAGAATTGCAAAATAAAGGAGGGATCTAAGTTCACATGGATCTAAAGCAGACTTATTTATCATTTGACTTTCCAAGTTAGGAAAAACGGCTGGGATACCTACCAACTATCATCCTTCGGGGCCGTGACCACGTAGTAGACTACGCCACCGTGGGAAGTAGCCATACTGGGCATACTCACTTTCCACAATTAATTTCACTCACAAAAGACACTCAGAATGCAACTTTTA